CTGAACCCCTCCGGCCATCCTCCTGGTTTCCGGGTGCAAGCCCTGTCACTCCCCAGGCATTAGGGTTCCCTGCTGCTTCGTCTCATGCTCAGTGGAGAACAAATGAGCTTATTCCGGCTGAGGTGAGCACGTATTTACGTGAGGTGTGTGTTTGATTTGAAAGGTAAAAAGCACGTGAAGTTAGAGAAAAGCAATATTATCTGTGACAAGGCTCTTTTCTTCTGCACATATTTAGTTAGTATTCTTGAATTATAAGCTTTTTTTATGTTCCCTTTTGGATGTTTATAAATTTTTATCTTTTTGTTTTGTAGCTTCCACCATCTTATGAGCAGGTGATAAAAGAAATCAATCAAGTGCAAGTCAATACAACAAATAACAATAATGCTGCTGCTCCTAGACATACCACTACTTCTGCAACACAAACGGACTTTCCAGAGGAATTAATCAGCCGTTTTCCAGGAAGTAATGTAAAAACCTGTCTGCCTACATGCTGGGAATCTGCAAGCTATCCAGGTGAGCTTTTTGGATTTCCATTGACAAAAGCCTTACTCTGTCTCATGAAGATGCTCTTCATTATTGATGTGTGCAGCAATTAACATGAATAACAGTAAAATTTCTGGGAGTGATTACTTCTATACATTCCTGTAGAGCTCCTCTCTTCTGAAGAACTACCATGTAGGTTAGGCTATAATGAAAACTTGTTCTATAATGAAGATGTAACATATCTATCTTTATGACTTTACAATAAAAATCCTTAAAGTTTTGCTCAACTCAGTCAGTTCAGCCATAAAGGCAATTGCTTTGGACCCAGAGGAGGTCAGACGTCCAGTCAGAATAACAGCAGCGTTACACACACTGTGTAACTCAACTGGGAAAGTTACTGTTGTTATCCTTTGGTCGAGACATTGCTCACATACCACCCTCGTGCTGTGAGCTAACAAGGAGTTTTGAACTCTTAACCTGTAAATTTCGTTCATTTCGGCAACCATCAGCTTCCTCCTAGAATTTATATTTTTAATGCTTCCTCTTAGAAAGAGAATTGTAAAATTTCACAGGCAGCAATATGTTCTGAATGAAAATCATCAAGTTTCCCATCGTAGGAGGTGACAAAAATAACATAAATAAAGTGTGTTGGAACAGATAACAGAAACCTCTTCTTTTCTGTTAGCAGGGCAGAGTCCTCTCAAACCTCCTAGGCCTTCTGCATCTCTCCTGAATAGGTCATCTTCAGAAAATGAGACTCCCTTAATAGTCTTTGAAATTTCTGAAGGTCAGAGGTGCCAAGAAAATCCCAGTGCTGTGATACGTCCTGTGCCAAAGCCAAGATCAAAAAGCAATCTTAGACCTGTGGTCAAAAATACTGAAAGTAGAATACGAGACAATGGGGAAGTGAATCAGTCTACTGCAAAAAGGCAACAGCCTTCAGCTCAGCAGTCATCTCTCTTAGATGATAGCCTACTGGACAATCACTTGGCAAGGGACAGCATGAGTACAGAAAAGAGCCAAAATAGTATTGTTTCACGGATCAAAGCTTTTGAATCCCAAGCAACTAACGATACCTCAGGATCATCCAAAAAGCCAGAAGTTGCTCCACGATCATTCACCCCAAGGCCTGTAACTGCAAAGAAACCAGTAGTTGCTCCGAAGCCAGGAGCAAGCAGAGTTTCAGGAGATTGGGATTCATGGACGGAAAGCAAATCAACACCTTCTTCCAAGGAATTGCAGCCTCAGCCTGAAGTAGTTGGGAGCAGTGTTGTAACCAAACCTGAACTGCCAAAAAAACCAAAACCTGGCCTTGTAAAAGGTGTTAGTAGTGATTTTGTTGATGCAAGGAGTGGATCAGTTGCAGAGAACAGTGATGGACAAAAGAAATTTCCTGTTCCTGCTCCAAGGCCACTTGTTCCCAAAAAGTCACGTTATGTAGAAAATCCTGCCCTTTCTTTGGCTTCACTAAAACCAATTACTGCTGCTCCCCGTCTTTCTGTATCTGCCCAAGAAAAAGCTTTCAAGTCTCTGGGGGAGTCACCGGCAACCAACTCCTCAGCGCCTGCTTTGCAAAATAAGCTAGATGTGGAAGGAGATCTGATCAGTTTTGATGATGATATTTTACCTCTAAGTCCAGTTTGTGTAGTTAAAGATAGCAGCAGTTCTGAAGCAGCAGCAGGTAAGAATAAACTTTTTAATACTGTCACTGTGGTTAGTTTGCAGGTGTGTGATACTACGTGAATTATGTCTATCTATTCTGCCTGTCCTGACAGGGTTTATTTGTGTATATGAAATTCTTTGTTTGCCATTATATCAACATCTCTATGAAATTACTTAGAATTTGAGACTCAGAATGTTTCCAGGCTCTATAAATCTCAGAACTTGCCTGCTGGTTTCATTAAATGAAATAAAATAGTGATAAAGGACTTAAAGTTGCATGTCAGATGTCCCCTCCAGAAAATATCACAACTCTCTCTCAGGAACTTGGGCCATCTTGTCTTTTGCTGTATAATCCAACTAATTTATTTGAGGGCCCACGTTCTATAGTGGAGACCTCCTGAGCACAGTGTGTGTGTAGATATTTGTTCTATTAGGTCATCTAGAGAAGCAGCAGTGTTTATCGCATTTAGGGAAAATTGCTATCAAACATACTGGAATGCTCTGTCCTTTTCACCAGTGTCTATTTTCTCTTCCTTATCTTCATGCATTGTCTTGTCATGTGGAGAGTGTTTTGTTATACAACTTCAGATCTTTCTGTTAAGTCAAAATAATTATTTAATATGGATGGATTAATTACTACAGCTACATCCCTTTCATAAACCTTAGTTGATTCCCATAAACACTTGAGGCCATTTTTTTTTAAAGGTGTTTAGGTAGTTTAAGATGCAGATGGGTGCTGGGCTGTCACTGAATTTTACAGCAATGGATTTTTCCTTACTAGTATTCAAGCATGTCCTGATTTAGCCTATTGCAATCCAGGGAGAGTTCTGTTTTAAAACAAATGGTATTTTGTCCGAGATGCATGTTTAAAGAAGAAGTATGATTTTTAATCTATTTTTGCCTCATTTATCATTAAACATTCCAGCTCTCTGAAAAGGGATACATAAATACCATGTAGTTGTCACGGTAAATCTTTATTAGTGGTCATTAGGAATTGTGATTTCATTATGGTTTGTGGATTATGTCATTAGGTGAAGTTCCGATTTGTTATCACTTTTATCCTGTATTGGCATAAAAAATAAAACCCCAAGGCAGACGTAGAATGTCCCTTACAGTTCTGTACTGTTGAGAACGGTAAGCATGGACATACAGACCTCAGGGCAATGTGTGAAACCCATGAAGCAGAGTTCATGAGCATTCTTGTGGCAGCAGAAGGTCCTGCAGGAGAGTGACCAGCTCAGCGTGGGTATGAGTCCCTTTCTTCTTGGACTGACAGGTTCCAGGAGCCCTACAGGAGCTGTGCCAAGCCCGGAAGGAGGGAGGAGTACGGAATGATGAGACATGTTTCCTATTTACCTCAAGGAAGTGCATGACTGATAGTATCTAGCTGGGGAGAGAGTTACCATCATCTCTTCTGGAGACTGCAGTTGCAGAGCAGCCATTGAGCATGTGATGGTTTAGAAGAAAGTTAGAAGCACATGAGATGATGATCGTTTCCCATGTGTTCAGGGTAAAACTTGTAGTTTTGGTTATTTCCTTTTGATTAAGGAATGCAACAAACAGAGGGCAAATTTAAGTGCTTTAAGTAGCAGACAAGAAAAGAGAGTTCTTAAGTTTTGGGAATGTATAAAAAGGAAAATGATTTTTTGGCTTTGTACCCTGAAAGACTGCCTCTCCCCAGCCTGGAAAAATGAAAAAAACATTAATTCCTCTTTTAAATCAATTGTTCTGTGATTCCAAAGAAAATCACCTGAGAAACCAGCTCTTACGATGAAGTGGTAAGAATGACACTCTTCACCATTCTGATATCCTAGGCGATATTCTTGACTTAATTAAGAAGAAAACACCATTCTTAAGGTTAACAGAAGAATTATTCAGCTAATAGTTTCCTTACTTCTTCTTGAGTCAACTGTCCATGATTTTACTGGTTTAATAAAATGATGTCTTTGTTGCAACCCCTTCTTATCTACTAAAGAGAAAAAGGTCTGACAGCATTATTGCTTTATTGCAATGTAAAATTAGGGTTCGTTCCAGATTTTTGCAGCCGTCTGTGAGCTCAAGACCCTATCCTGTATCCTTGATTACTAATGCCAGTGCTATATCTTGACAAAGCATCCATGAGAGAAACACTGACTTTCTGAGAAACGAGGCAGCATGCAGCACTAACACTAGCTATTTCTCATGTTCCCATAGGAACAGCTTAGGATTTGCAAGATGAATTCACAGTAAAATGTTTTGTAAAGGCAGGAGGAGAAGCTATAATCTTGCTCATAATTCCCCAGACCTTTGCATTTCTTACATATTTGTCATTGTCATTACTTAGCAAAATGACAGAACTCTGCTTGTTGTTATGGCAACCCTGGAAAATGAGGAAGGCTTTTATGCAGTGGTATTTGAAACTAAGCACCAGCAACTTGTTTGTCAAAAAGCAGTTTTAACATCACACATTACAACGTTCATGAAACTTTTTTTTTGTTTTTTTTTGAATTGCAGCACAAATGTGTCTGGTGCTTAGACTAACGTAGTGGAACTGGACAGACAGATAAATTAACTGCTTCTGTTAATGCAAAAGTAAGGAGGCAAAGTGTTCAGCTGGTGGTGGCAAAGGTGCAGGAATTGATGTGAGCGTATGATTGAAAAGACAAAACAGAAACAAATTCAGGGTCTCCACAGGAATTTAACTGACGGACGGAGAACTTCAGCTACCTCCAACAGGAGCCTGCCATCCCCATAGTAGTAGAAGATATTTGAACGTTACCTACTTAGTCAAAATCAAGCGTGTTAACTACAAAGCAGTTTGTATTTTCACTGGTTTAACTATCAGTTTTTGACCAGTAGTTTAACTACCGTAGCTGGCTGGATGGTTTTTTTTTCTTTCCCCAAGTCAAATTTCCCTCAGGCAATCCCATAATCCCCTCTCCGTTGGCAAAGCTGTGGTGGCTGTGGCTTTCATCAGTGTTTGAAAGCATCTCAAGAGCACAGCTGTTTGTAGAGTGAGCTTGCTCTTATCTGAATATTAAAGATTTTATCTTTTCCAGCCTTGTGGTGCAAATAGAGCCTCTGGGTACCAGAAATACTTTCAAAGCTTTCAGCATCCACTGTGCCATCTGAAGTCCATTGGAGCATGAGAGGCTCAAGAGCTCTGAGACTCAGAAGTAAATTGTGGCAGAGCCTTGTATCGAGTTCATGTCTCTGATGCTGGCAGAGGGGAAGTACCAGAAAGGAGAAGCTGGGAATGACAACTCTGTAGGACAGCTCCTTTCATCAGTAGCTAAAATTGATGCCAGTTTTAAGTAACTGCATAATTTTGGACTCAAAGGCTGAAGAAAATGTTCAAAGGCATTTGCATCCTAACGAAATTACTCATGTTCGAGTCAGTCATTTAGAATATGAATGCGTCTACTTGGGACTGTAAATCTGGGCATGTTAAGGCTTTGATGATGGTTGTGATATTTTTAGATTGTCGGGGTATTTTTAGATTTCTCTTATAGCTGGTAAACGGGGTTTTGTGCAGTCATTGGGATGTTCCTTAAGGTTAAAAGTTCCAGTGATCTGTCAGGTGGACTCTTTTCTCACTAATCCATTTTTACAAAGACTCAGAAGTGAAATCCTAGTGCAGGTTGAAGTGAGTAGAAGTTCCATGGCTTCAGTAGATCCAGGATTTTACTGCACCTATATGTACTGTATAGTATAATATGTATACAGTATACTGTGTGTATGTATAGTATCCTATAGAGTATTTTTTATGTATGTCCTTACATTGGTTGATGTGTTAAAGAGTGTAGTGTGCCTGCTTGCTAAGTGTTCTGATATGTTTTAAACACGGAAAATAGGGTAACAATGCATTAAAAGCATGTATTTAAACTAAAACCTGGAGGTGGTTTTGCTAAAATATGCCTTGCCTATTCTTTTCCTATGTGGAGAGTTATTCTTTTTTCTCTCTCTTTTTTTTTTTTCCTTTTTTCTTTCTGTCTCTTCAAGATATTATATAATTCACCGATTGCTCTATTCCTGATACACCAGAATGCAATTTAAACCAGATGCTTTGAAAAGTAATTCAGAGATAGTATCTTGACTTACCGGCAGGAGACAGCTTTCTCTTTTATTTTCTTCGTCATATTAGTGTATTTCAATTCTAACAGTAATACAATTGCTGTGTTTCTTAACTGGTTGGCTTCTTTCATCACAGTATGAAAGTTCAGTTCTGTCTGTACGGGGGGAAAAAAACAACCAAATCAGTGACTGCTATCCATTTACGCATGTTGTTCCTTCTTGTGGCCTGAATGACGTGTCTCTGTGACACTGTAGCCAATTCAGTACTGCTACTTGAATAGCTCCAGATTTGCCTGCAGTGGGGACATTGCCCAGCTGCTTGTTTTTAATTGCTTCTGGGGAAGGGGGGGAGGAAAAAATGTTTTTTTCTACATGGTAGATTAGTCCAGATTTATCTTAAAAATAACGTAGCTTTTCTTATGATTCTGCTATGTTAATTCCAATGAGTGTTCTTGCGGCTATTTTAAAACATTACCTGTCGTCTTTTTGCCTTACTGTCAAAAGTATCATCCCCAGAGCAGAATGACATTGTCTCATCCAATTTAATCCACTATTTGGCTTAAACTACTGATAAAACAGACCTCTCTTAAGACGTTGTACTATGGGCTGGAGTTGAGGTATGGATGTGTGCTGTGTCCTGTTGGTTTTGCTAAAAGACTGGTAATCTCCAACAGCAGTGATAGTGAGTATCTGTCATCTCTTCAGACCCTACAGATGTTTGCTTAGTGAGCAGCTGGTGCCCACAGGGAGCTTGGGAGTGACTCCACTGTTACCACAGGAAATGACCTTAGATCTGAATTCAGAAAGCATAAGGTTTTTTTTAAATCATAGTCGTGTAATGTGAGTCGAAGTCAGAAATTTCAGATGTTGATGCCCTCTAGGTTGTCAAACTCAAATTTGCTTTTGAGTTCCATGTCCATAGAGGATGTTAAGTGGTGGCTTAAGTAATAATGTTCTTCATGATAA